TTTTTTTGGGAGAGGCTTCAGCACTCTTCAGCCCAGCTTTGAACGTGTGATTCCAATTAAGGCCGTGGCTCCACGGCAGCGGGATCAGAGCTGCCTGTTTGGATAAGGAGCAATAAAGCAGCAGCTGTATTTATTCACTTATTTGGAAGCTGCTGGGGAACACAGGATGCTAAAAGGCAGGAAGAAAACGTGTTTTAAAGGCAAACTCCAAGGACTCTTTTGTCTCCTGTGGGCATCCGCCTCCCTGAGGAGCCTGTAGCCATCACCAGGGTGCTTCCTCATGAGCAGGATAATCCTGCCTGTGTATTCCCATCTGCTTTGAAATGCTCAAAAATACAGAGATGTTTATAATTATTGCTATGCATTGTGCAGGGAAAATAAACTTTAAATGGCATGAATCCGTGTTTAAGGCAGGATTTACTGGATATGGCCTGTGAGCCTGTGCATGCAGGGATGCTTAATGCCAGGTTATTAAACCACAGGGGATTTCTGCTCTGTGTTTATTAACCTGGAGACTCTGGGGTTTCTCTGCGTTTGTACACACCAGAGTGAATTTCCAGTGAGAATTTGGTGGGATTTGAGCAGGAATCCCACCTGGGAGAGGTGTCGGTGCCACCCACAGCTCCCCATCAGCCCACGTGGCTGTGCCCAGCTCCAAGGGTGTCACACAGGGATGGCAGCAGCTCCGTTCCCAGGGCACGCTCACCTCGGATCCTGTGCGAGCTCCTGAGGTGCTTGTCCCGTGTCCCAGATATTCCCACACACCTGGACAGGTACAGGCACATTCCCCTTGGCACAGGGGCACGGGGTGATGTGCTGGCACAGCCCGGGCTGCCCTGACGAGGGTGGCCAGGACACGGTGTGGGGGCTCCTGTGAGGCCCGGGCATGTCAGGAGGAGCTTGGGATGGGACTGAGGGATGTTTGTGTCCCTGTGGGTGTGCGAGGGGAAGGGATTGGTGCTGGTGTGAGGTGTCCGTCGGGAAGGGGGTTAGGTGCTGTTCTGGGTGTCTGAGGAAGGAACAGGGTTGGTGTAGCAATCCATGAGGAAGGAGCCCTTATCCATGGGGCATCCTTGGGGAAGGAGGGAGTGCCAGGGGGGTGGTCCATGGGCAAAGAGCGCACGTCACTGTAGGGGAAGATGCAGGGCAGGTGACACTGGAGGTGACAGCAGGAAAAGAGGGGCGTCCATGGGGTGCCAGGGCAGAAGGAGCAGTGCCAGTGCAGTGCTGCCATGGAGCGGGGGGTGACTGTGGGGCTGCCCGTGGGAACAGGGGATCCGTGGGGCTGTCACTGTGGGAGCAGGGCCCGCCATGGGGGTGCTGTGTGCAAGGAGGGGTGTCCATGGAGGACCTGAGCGTAAGGAGGGTTTCCACTGCAGGGGGAGGAAGAGGTGTCTGTGGGAACTGGGGTGTCCTTGGGGACGTTGATAGGGAAACAAGGGTGTCAGGGCATCCGTAGGGTATTGGTGGGGAAGAGGGGTGATGTGAGGTGTCAGTATGGAAGCAGGGGTGTTGGTGGGGTGTCAGTATGGAACCAGGGGTGTCGGTGGGTGTGTTGGTAAGGAAGCAGGGGTGTTGGTGGGTGTCAGTATGGAAGCAGGGGTGTCAGTATGGAAGCAGGGGTGTCAGTATGGAAGCAGGGGTGTCAGTATGGAAGCAGGGGTGTCAGTATGGAAGCAGGGGTGTCAGTATGGAAGCAGGGGTGTCAGTATGGAAGCAGGGGTGTCAGTATGGAAGCAGGGGTGTCAGTATGGAAGCAGGGGTGTCAGTATGGAAGCAGGGGTGTCAGTATGGAAGCAGGGGTGTCGGTGGGGTGTCAATATGGAAGCAGGGGTGTTGGTGGGGTGTCAGTATGGAACCAGGGGTGTCGGTGGGGGTGTTGGTAAGGAAGCAGGGGTGTCGCTGGGGTGCCAGTATGGAAGCAGGGCAGTCGGTAAGGAAGCAGGTCTGTCGCTGGGGAAGCAGGGGTGTCGGCAGAGGTGCTGCTGGCGGCCAGCGGGGTGTGTGCAGCCCCCGCCGCCCCCCCGCCGCCGCTTTGCATAGCAGCCCGGCTGCCCCCGGCCCCCGCCCTCCATATAAGCGCCCTCCGGGGCGGCGGCGGCCGCACCGGCCCGGCCATGCTGCAGAGCCCGGCGTGCCCCCGGCCCGCGCCGCCGCCCCCCAAGACCCCGTTCCACATCGAGG